TACCAGATTTGGCTATAGACTTTGTCAAAGATTGCCACATGAAATATCTAAAACTAATTTTGGCTGGAGACATTGTCAAAGATTGCCACATGAAATATCTTGAACGCATACGTTTATAGGTACCAGATTTGGTTGGAGACATTGTCGACCACATGAAATATCTGGAACGTCAATCTCTACATGTATCAAATTTAACAGGAGACAAAAATTGCCACATGAACTATCTACAACTTCAATCTCTACATGTACCAGATTTGACTGGAGACATTGTCAAAGATTGTCACAATAAATAACAAGAACGCATACCATTCATATACCAGATTGGGCTTGAGACATTGCCAAAGATTGCCACATGAAACGTCTAGAACGCCTGCCTAAAAAAGAACCAGATTTGACTGAAGATATTGTAAAAAATTGCCGCATGAAATATTTAGAATGCCTATCTTTAGGGGCACCAGGTTTGACTGGTGACACTGTCAACGATTGCCACATTAAATATGTATATTACGCCAATCTCAACATATACCAGATTTGGCTGAAAATATTGTCAAAGATTGCAAGATTAAATATCAATAACACATATCTCTTCATGTACTAGGTTAGGCTTTGCTACATAAAACACCTAGAGAGCATTTCTCAAATGGTACCAGATTTGACTGAAGATACTGTCAAAGATTGAATACCAAAAAATTATATCTCTAAATAATCTCAGAAATGACTGGTGATATTGTCAAAATTCTGGAAACAAAGTCTTCCATATGATATATCTATAACGCCTGCCTCAAAAGGTATCAGATATGCCTGGAGATGGCATGAAATATATAGAACGTCTATCTCTACAGTCACCAGATTTGATTGGAGACATTGTCAAAGATTGCCACATGAGATGTCTAGAAATCCTACCTCTATATACTAGTATACCAGATTTGTCTTGAGACAATGATAAAGATTGCCACATGCATTAGCGGGAACGCATATCTCTATTATGTTGTTATGTATCAGATTTGGCTGGAGACATTGTCAAAGATTGCCACATGAAATACCTGGAGCATCAGTCTCCATATGTACTACATTTCACTGGCGACACTGTCAAAGAATGCCACATGAAATATCTACAACTCCAATGTGTACGGGGACCCGACTTGCCTGAGACATAATCAAGGATTGCCACATAAAAATCAATAACGCATATCTTTATATGTACCAGATTTGACTGCAGGTATTTTCAAAGATTGTCACATAAAATATATAGAACTTCTATATCTCCAGGCATCAGATTTGACTGTAGACATTATCAAAGATTGCTATATAAAATATATAGAACGTCTGTCTGAACAGGCGCCAGATTGCGCTGGAGATATTGTCAAAGTTTGCCACATGAAAGATATGGAACGCCTATATCTTCAGGCATTAGAATTGACTGGAGCCATTGTCAAAGATTGCCACATGAAATATCTAAAACGCCTTCTCAAAAGGTACCAGATAAGCCAATTTCGACTAAATGAAGGGTTATAACTCTGTCAATAACAACTATTTTATTTATTTGTATAATATAATATGACAGTATGCTAGTTAACAATTCTATTTATTCATAATGAAAACATGACAATACAAAAATAAATGTATAGTTTATTTCAGTCTCATTCTTGTACGTACAAGACAAACTAATCAATATTCAACATTAAAACGTAAAAGTACATGATCAATCTATCAAAGATTTATAGGAGACTTTTTTATTTTACAAATCAATGAACCTTTCTTAAATCTTACATCTATATATCTATTCATATTTAAAGTTTATTTATTCTTTCTTTAACACCAGTAACACAATCTTTATTGGTACATTACAATGTAATAATATGTGAACCGGCAATGACTGTGCCTTTAAATGTAACTAAACTGTCACTAATTGTGACTTTAATACACCCACCAACACATTGATTTTTAACACTATGACCCACTATATTACCTTGAGTAGACTGAAATAGCGAAAAGTAAATTACGAAGAGAGCGACATAAAATGTGTCTTTCACATCTTGAAACCATCTAAACGGCATACATATATATTTTGAAAATGTTTGCTCAAAACCTGTAAAAGTAGTTTGCGACACAAACTTACACTGCAGTTATGATATATGTTTTATAGTTATTGAAATACAAGAACATATATTGCAAACAGAGCGACGAAAATGTGTCTTACAAACTTACTTTGAAAATGATTTCTTAAAACCTGTGGCAGAAGTTATGATTCAAACTGTGGTGTTACTCGGTAAAGGAAAAGAGAGTAACGTAAATTACAAATTTGGCAGAAAAAAATATGTGCTGCACATCTTCAACCCACCCGAAAGACATATACATGTACCAATTCGTAGTAATATCAGCTGATTAGCTAGTTAAAATATATGCACATTGCGCATGCTCAATTACATGTCTAGCCATTACATTGATGTTAGGGATTTTAGGAGAATAAATTTACATCTTGTAGAGTATACACTTGTTTGTGTTATATCACTATTTTGTGAAGTCTTCTTGACTTCGTAACTCCCAACAACAAAACACAAATCAAACTCGGCCCTAAAATGTAATCGGCCCCGGAGTCAGCTCGGTCCTATTTCAGCTCGGCACGGGTCAACTTAGCCCACTTTTTAATTTATTTATATATTGGTTTGTTTTATCACTCTTTATTGTTTGGAACCACATAATTGATATATGGACTTATTCACAAACGTGGAAAGGTGTTTTCTTAAATCATTAACTGAAATTGGAAAAGGACATTTAAGAACTGCTATTATCACCGATCAATTACCACGTGTATGTTAAAGGTACCGATTAATCGGTTGATAATTATGATTGACGTAATCATTCAAATTTGATTCATGACCACCTACAACTTATTTCCAAGATTTCCAAGATTTTATTTTCAATAAATGCAAAAGTTCCACAATAGCGGGAAACATAAGCAAACTTGCGACACACATACACACACACACACACGCACGCACGCACGCGCGCGCGCACACATACATACATACATACATACATGCATACATACATACATACATACATACACACATAACATAATGTAGTAGAAAACGGCTATTGAGATTTCCAAGAACAGAGCCTACCACATTCATATTTATTAAGCTATAAAATTGAGCTGGGTATATATATGTAAGTGAACATAAATATTACAACATTCAATCATCAAAGACACAAAAAAGGTCATAACTTATCTTTCGCATATTGTAATTTAAGACATGATTTAAAATTGTCTAGTTAAACACATCAAGTTCTAATAAAATGTTGCATTATTTTCATTCAAAAATACTAAGATTCTTTAGTTTATTTGTATTTTCCGATGTGAGCAGGCTTACAAATTTAAACATACTAGGCCTATTTATGTAAAAATTATCTATGTATATTTTCCTATCACTTTCAAATTCTGGACATACAAAAAGATAATGAAATTCATCGCCAATATCGTTACATATATAACATTTACGGTCTTGAGTAGGTAAATTCTGCCATCGTCCTATTTCAATTGGAAGGCGATGATTTCTTGTCAAAAATAGTAATAATTTCTTAGCTAAATTGCCAGGCAGTTTATCTATGTAACAGCTTCTCGAAAAATCCTTTTTGATATATTTGTAAACGTTTGTATCAGAAGTGTTATTTAGTTCAGAACGCCAATTTTGCGTGTAAATATCTTTTAACTTTTGAAATGTTGTTTTTATCAACCACTTATTATTGCTAAAACTTTCTATGTACCAAATCCCAGAAAAACCAGTTTCACACAAATATTGTTTTACATTTTCTATCCACAATGATTTAACTTTATTATCTATATGTAATTTACGTAAGAAAATATATACCTTTGAAGATAATTTTGTTGGTTCATCACTTTTGATATTTTCAATAAGTATTGCCCAAAATGTTATTACTCTGTGTTTGATATTCACACTGAGTGGTAGAACACCTGTTTCAAAAACTTTAAAATTTTAAATTTAAATATATATTTGAGAAATTTCAGCTGAATTTTCTCTAAAACATTAACATTTCCATATCCTCAAATTTCGCTTCCGTACAGTAAAATAGGCTTGATAGTTTTTTCAAATAATTCAATTTGTAGGTCAAATGGTAAAGCCAAACTTTTAATTTTCCTCAGTAATGCAAATAGTGCTTTATTAGCTTGCTCAGCTATTTGTATTTTCGATTTATAAAACGAACCACTTTTATTGAAACATATCCCTTATTATTTATATTCATTTACGATTTCCAAGACATGTTGCCCAATTTTAAAAACATTATTTATTTTTGGACGTCCTTTACTAAATATCATAACTTTGGTTTTATTTACATTAATATTTAGTTTCCACGTTTCACAATACCGGTATAATTTAAACTGATCTAAAGCCTTTTGAAAACGAATTTCATTTTCACTGAAGATCATTTGAAGCTTATGATAACAAGTTAACACATTTTTATTTCAAAAGTATTGAAGATTATTTTAGAAACCAAAAACATCAAAGGAAACACATTTGTATTATATTATTTTTCAACTAATCTGCAAGAATAAACGGAACGAATTTCTTCTAAATATACTTTAATTCTACAGAAGTACATTATACAATTATATAATGGTATACCAGATATCACTTATTTTTCATTTAAAACAGCTTGCCGTGATAACAGAGGCAGAAAAAGTTAATACGTTCAATATGTTTTTTGTTAAGTGGGCCGAGTTGACCCGTGCCGAGTTGACCTGTGCCGAGTTGAGTATAGGGCTGGGCATGTTTACCTTTTTGTAGGGGAGGTAATTGACAGAGCGGGATATTTCAGTCTTAGCATACCTTTGCAAGGATCTACCATAAATTCAAAAAATCAATATTTCATTAAAAGTTTATCTTTATCTCTCTTGGGACAGATAGTTAAGTTATGTTGCTTAAATCGTTAAATTTTCATAGTTTTAAACGTTAAAAGAATATTTCGACAGAGAAAGTGGTTTGGGATTAAAAACGAAACTGGTTTGACCTTTGGGAATATTAAAGAAAATGGCGTTAGGGGGAAGTTTAAATTTAGACAATTTGTCAGATCAAACATTTGATCTGCTGTGTAGAATTTGTAAACGGAAAGGCAACAATTCCGAAGCAGAAAAGTACTGTTTAGAATGTCAAGATTATTTTTGTTTGAAATGTGTCAAAGTTCATGAGGATGTACCGTCGATAATGGACCATAATATTCTCGACAAAAGCCAGTTTCCATCGGACTCGGCTAAGATAGTTGGTTCAAGGAAGACTTTATCAGATAAATCAATCGAGAGATGTGACAAACACAGTCATAATGGTATTGATATGTATTGTCAGATTCACGACCAAGTTGGGTGTGGCACCTGTATGACTTTAGCTCATAGGTAAGTTGGTCAATTTCAATATAATTATATTTATCTTCTAGATGGCAAAAAAAGGTTTTTTGATCAACTACCCTTTGTGACCGACTTTCCGCCGTGATTTTTATAAACTTTTAACTGTAAGTGAACACTCAATAAAAATCTACCGACAAAACGTCTAGATATATCTACCGTGTGTATATAAATGTAATGATTTATATACACAGTAGATATACCCTTTTTAAGACGATGTTGAATTGATAAATGTATGTGTGTTATTGATAAAATTTTATAAAAATCACGGCGGGTAGTCGGTCATAAAGGGTAGTCGATCAAAAAACTTTTTTGCCATCAAGTGCCTATGATTTAAACTTATTTTAAAGTATTAATGTACTATCAAATTCTTCATCTTTCTATTTCAGCTAAAAGAAAATGTCCACATACAAAACACTGAGCACTACAAATTTGAAAATGTTTCAAAGTTAGTTCAACCTAAATAGGTAGTCAATTGACGTGCCAAAGCTAGATCCTGAGATTACTGTGTTCAGCGTCAGAATCTCGCTTCTAGAGGGGAGATATTGGCCACACACAAAACAGCACAATATCTCATCTCGTAGGACAATAAGTCGCACTACTTAAATAGGATGCACATATGTCACTAGTTTCATTGAATATATAATATAGAAAATATAGTAATTATTTCATTATGTTTCTCAAAGGAGTTGCATGATAGCAACTGGGGATGTTTCATATCACTATGACAGGTCTTGGTTCATATGTATGACTATTAATGATAAGTATAAGCAACAACAACATTGGCAGTGTATTAGAACCATAACTCTTCTTTGAAATAGGATTATCGCCCTTTTTAGGGGGAGGGGATCGGCATTTAGGTGTCATTGAAGAGTCATGCAGTGTATGGGAACAATAACATATATGATATTTATGATCTGAGGTACATATTTCTGAGAAGCTTCAATTAAAATAATTCAACAGTTGATGTCAATTCAATAATTTTGCTTGTAATATTATTTTCTTCTAGGAACTGCCAAGATACATTTTACATACCAGAATATATTTCGGACACCGGCCTAACAACATCTATAAAAGAAGTTGAAGAGAAATTGGATTCCGTGTCAATGTACCTTACAAGACAGCATGAAAGCATAAAAAGCGAGCAAGATCAGCTCTTGGAGAGGAAAAAACTGTTAGTTGACAATATCACGAAATTCAGAAAAGAAATCAACGACAAGCTGGATGACCTAGAAAAGGTTACAATCAGTGATGCTGATAATACTTACAAATCGCTGACAAATGAGATGAAAAATGCAATGCGAATGTTGCAAAATATGAAGGAAACTATTGCAGGTTATCGAGAAAGGATTAAATCAAACAGTAACAACCAAACGACAAGGTTTGTCACCCTGAAAAAAGCTGAAGATATTGATCACACGGCCTCTAAATTAGAAATCAAACTTAAAAAAGGTAAATCGTTCGGAAATATCGAGTTTGAAGCTGGTCAAAAGTTATCAACGCTATTAAAGGATATGAATAGTTATGACTTTACAGCCCAGCAGCCAGCACAAAAATATCAACACCCACAACAACCTTGTCAGCCCCCACCTCAACAATATCAGCCCCCACTAGAACCCAAGCGACCAAGAGATAAATCAGCAGGCAAAGGGGTGAGTTTTCTATTTGTTTTGTAGTTTTTTCCTATTTGAATTGTGAACTTAAGTTCTCCTTCCTTGAGATGAGTTACATTTACAGTCTGATGAAAATCATCTTAAAACGCAAATAATAAAGCAATGCAGAATTATTTGAAAGGGAATGCACATTTTGTTATGATGCTGTAAAAAAGTCAGAATGCTCAATTTTGAGAAAAAGAGATGTTCTTATATTGTTATCTAAAATCAAGCCTACAGCCTTATCAAGAAGCATTGGTAAAGAAGTGTGAAACCATTTATACAACTAGAACTTTACATGTATTTAGTATGTAGGTTTAAGGTTTAAGTTAACCCGGTATTTACAGACAAAAGAATGAACAAATTTCAATAACTAGAAGCCCTGGGTCATAAAAAGGAATGACAATGCAAAAATATTTTATCCCATAATTTTATTTGCAAGTTAAAAACACTAAGGGTATAGCTATATGATGTGAAGGATATTGTTTTTTTATGAATACATATTTATGATGTATTTATTAATCATAATTTAGGATGTATTTGCATTTGAGCAGATGGTTTGTAAAGCAATGTACGATTATGACGCAGTTGACACGGACGAGGTTGATATGCGAGAGGGAGATTTGATCGTATTCTGTAAGCAGTTTGAAGCTGGATGGTCTGAAGGCACGGTAGAGAGAACCGGAAAGCGTGGATTTTTACCTTCAAATTATGTGGAGAAAATCAACTAGGCGCTTTTTTAAATGAAAATTTAATCATTTTTTAAAATGTGTATAGAACATGTATATAACTATGTGTGTTAAGATAAGTTGTTAACCTAAAGCCTAAGGCGAGTCAGAACCAGAATTGCATTAAAGTTGTGATGGAAAACGTGATAATTATGTTGTTACTACTTAACAGAGCCTTTATGTTAAATAAATTTTTTTAAAGTTTTTTAAAAATCAAAACTTAAGATAGATGCTTTTGAACAGTTTTTTTTTTTTGCTTTTTCTAGAGCAAGACAAAATAGTGTGATGTCTTCTTGAAATCTTCCACATTGGTAAGACAGTTATAAAAATGTTTAAGTACAAATCTGCATGGAGAACAAAGTCAGTGCCTGCTCAGGCAAAGATATAATTTTTGGGAGTTTTCGTAAGATAATTTTTGGTATGGGTACATGTAGTTTCGCAGGAAAAGAAGCCCAGACCAGTCTGCCTAAAGTGTACATAGCTGTTGCAATTTCTTTCACATCCATAATTAATGTTTTTTGGAGAAAAAAGGGTTTTTGTAAAAATTAAAATAAATCATCCACGGTTTTTAATATTGATATTCAAGAGTTTCATTCTTTTCTCTGTAGTCCATATCGGTTTCAAACTTGCTTCTTGAATTCTTTGTTGTTGATTTTTTTCCCACATCTTTTTTAAAGAGGAATAGAGGAATATTTTATTAGCCTACATACGTACCACTACCTTAGAGCGTAAATGTAGTTTTGAACAAATATTTTTCAGAACATCAAAAATTAACCTGACTGGGAACAAAAATTGTAAATCCTTGACCAGGTTTTGTATACAGTTCATTTTAGATAAGTAAATTTTGTTATTAGTTTAGATTTTTTTATAAAAATTATATTT